TCCGGGCACGTGAGTCCGGTGTCAGCCCGGCCGCGGCTGCCGACACCTCCGCACCGCCCCGGGAGCTGGAACCCCGCTCGGGCTGCTGCCTCCTCGGCTCGCTGGAGCACACCTCGCGCGTGGTGCTCCTGGATCCCCTCTGTGCCTGCTGAGGTGGTGCCTGCGGGTCCCTGTCCCCAGCTGAGCCCGGTGGGTGACTCTGGGTCACCTCCCACCCTCTCCTTGCAGGGCCGGGCTTGGAGAAGCGGCACCAGGGGTGACGGTGGTGGCGGGACCCTGCACCGACCCGAAGAGGAGGAGGATCTCCCGTGGGAACGCTGGTGGTTTTGGGACGGTACCAGCTCCTTCGTGCCGGTGGAGACCTGTAGCTGGGGAAAAGCTCTGGAGCTGCTCGCCAAGGGGCAGCACAGCCTCAGGGATGTGTGCACAGGGGACAAACTCCTGTCTGGGGGTGTTCCTGGCACGGCTGGCAGTGGGATGTGGAGACTGCCAGCTCTGCTTTCTGGAAGGACAAAGGAACCTGTCTTCCCAGGCTTGGCCAGTTTTGGACAGTCTGTTGAGAAGGAGAGAAGAGCCTCCTGCAGGCTCAAGCCCTTCCCAGGGGTTCCATCCCTGCCCCAGCTGCTGCATTCCAGGGCTGAGTGCAATTCCAGGAGCTGCAGCAATGCCTTCAGCAAAGGAAAAGCTCAGGGGAATGAGGGGAGCTCCGAGCACGGAGGACTTCCAAAGCCGGGGAATCAGGACCTTCTCAGATCTCTTGGCAGTTTCTCCCTCTGGTTTGGGACAGATGTCGGTGTCCCTGCCGCTCGGGAACGGGAGGTGGATTCTCATCTCACACGCGTGCAGACGTGTCCTGCCCCGCAGCACCTTTGGGCACAAGTCGCTGTCAGTAGGTTCAGTGCCTGGACAGTTTTTGTCCTGGTTTGTGTCGCCCCTGCCATGTGAAATAAACCTCTGGATCTCTGCAGTGCCTCCAGATCTGTCCGGATCAGAAGGTGCCGCTCCACGTGCTGTTCCCGAGGTTCGGGGGATCCGTGCCCCCTCCCGGGGCTGTGGCTAGCAGGGAAAAGCCACGGTGCTACCCCTAAGCCCCCAGCCCAGGAGGGCAGGCAGAACTGTCAGAGGTTCCCAGTGCCACCTCCTGGTGCCAGGGAAATCCCAGCTCCTGCACAGGAACTGGAGCTGAGATGCTGCAGGGTCTTCGTTCTGCTTTTAACACCCCGCAACGATGAAATCACTAAATAAAGAGAAGAAATGCAGCTCCGGGGTGTTCCCAGTTCAGAGCCTCAGACCCGGCTCTAGCGATACCCGGGGGGCTCATCCCCGGCTCTAGCGATACCCGGG